AGAATGAGATGAATGTTTCTCCAAGGCGTAAGACCTTCTTAGGACTGTGCACATCATAGTCACAGATTATGCGCCGTGCGTGATCGAGACTCTCTCACAAGCTCGCCCAGGTCTTCAACGCACGGCGTGGAAGGGCGGTCGTGACGGGCATGGCGGACACGGCGGACACGGTCAAACCGCTCTATGAGCCTCTGGACTATGAACGGCGGCAGATACGAGTCCTCATTCTTCTTCCCGGGCAATTCTCCGATCCTATTGCGGGCCGTATGAAGATTGTTTCGTTGGATGACAAGCCCGAATACGACGCAATGTCATACGTCTGGGGGGATAAGACTAAGCAGCGAACGATTCACGTCAACGGTCACGACGTGCGTGTTACATTAGGCTTGTTTCTAGGATTACGTCAATTCAGAGATGAGTCTAAGGAGTATCCGCTCTGGGTAGACGCTATTTGCATAGATCAGTTGAACCAAGATGAGAAGTGCAAGCAAGTCAGCTTAATGGGGGATGTTTACCGCCAGTCCAGGGAAACCCAGGTGTGGTTAGGGGAAGAAACGGGATCGCTGCCTGGCTTAACAGACCCTCAACTAATTGACAAGTTGCGGATAGCCCTCTTTGCCCGGGAAAACGGGCTGAGTCTACCTGCTTTTGAGGGTAATGAGACCTTGACGAAGCTTTTACTGGACAGACTCTTGAGCACAGAGAAAGCACGTCGGGCGCTTCGGGATCAGATTGCAGCTGCACGGCCCTTTGGCTTCAACGGCAGCTTCTCACATTTCAATGCCTTTTATTTACTCGAGCATCTCGCTCTGAACAAACACCTTCACGAGATCATTGGGACGACAGACGGCGACCCGGAGAGATTATTGAATGCGGAAGTCAAGTGGACAATCATGGTGTACTCTCTATGGATATTTGTTTGGAACCCGTGGTGGCACCGGGCTTGGGTCGTTCAGGAAATCATATTGTCCCCCAAGGCTACTGTTACCTATGGACGGTTTAGCATGCCATGGCCTCAGTTCTTTCGCGCGGTGCAGAATTCTTCAGCGCATTCCAAAACGTGCTGCAACATGGACTACAACAATCTAGGGGTGGCAGACCGCTTGGTGTTGCGAGCCTTCTACCTGAATGTGGATGGCATCTCCGCCATAAAATATTGGGATTCGTATGAACCAGGTAAGCTTTCGGTGAGAGACCTTCTCCAGCGCACGCGCAGTAGGGAGGCGACTTATGCCGTAGACAAAGTCTACTCTCTGCTCGGACTACAACGCAGCAAGGGCAACATTCTGAAGTTAGTACCGGACTACCGGATCTCCCATTCGGAGCTTTATCGGAATGTCGCTGTATGGGATATAGAATCATCTGGAGGCCTCCACATCTTGGAACACTGCGAGTGGCAGCTGAATCTTCAGTTTTCCTCCTGGGTGCCGGACTGGACCCGTCATCTGGGGCTAAACCAGAACACCCCGGCCATTAATAATCGATTTGAGTCCATGGGCCTATACAACGCGGATAACCTTCGCAGAGGCAAGGTGGCGGTGTTGTCCGGCTGCATTCTGGCGGTCGAGGGTATCTTTGTCGATGAAGCCACCGAGGTTTCGGACATCATGACCGGTATATGGTTAATGGATATTCTATTTATGAAAAAGCTGGCGGAACTTCCTGTCAAGGAGAACTATCCTGCTGATTGCAGCCGTCAAGAAGCGCTCACACGGACTATGATAGCGGACTGCTTCCAGAAGTTTCCTTATGGTGACGGACAGGCAACCGAACCTCGACTTCGACGTGCTTCTGTGAAGGACATAGAGGATTATCATGCTATATGGGGGCCTTACTTGACCGCCGAGGTGGAGAGTGTCAGGGTTATGCTTGATATCGACCACCGAGCGGACAAGTTCAGGCCTTTGACAGATTCCTTGCAGTTTGCCTCCGTAGATCGAAGATTCTTTGTAACCAAAACGGGCTACATGGGCTTCGGACCGAGGACAATGCGAAAACACGACCATTTGTACGTGTTGCTAGGAGGCCGCACGCCGTTTATCCTACGTCCCGACCCATTGATATTACCAGGATTAGCAGTAGCTATGCTCGATCTACGTGCACCAGCAGGCCTAGACCATAGCCTCATAGGCCCCTGTTTCGTCCACGGGATAATGGATGGGGAAGTGGTCAGGGATAGAGAAACAGAATTGCGCGATGTCTGGCTTGTATAAAGAGCGAAACAGCAATCCGAACTTGCCCGACACGCGGGGCAGCCCTGTCCTACTACTCGTACGTTTAGACGGAGGTGAGTGTACTGTATCGACATTTAACGGCGGATACCAACGGCGTAAAAATTGTTAGTACGAGCTCGGCTAGGAGCTAGGCTGCCAGTTGCCGGATATAGACAGGCAGCTCTACTTGTCAGGCGAGAGTAACATCGGAGGAAGCGGCTTCAACCGGCCGTCACTGCTGTTCGAGCTCGGGAGGAGCCTATCGAACCTGACATCTGCGGACGTTGGCAAAGCTTGAATGCTATCCCCAGAATAACTTTGGATTTGAGTCAGCCAGGGTGACGCCGGAGAACGAGGCTGGAAGACCTAGGAAGCCCCGAACTAGATACCCGACACTTCGGGACCCAACACAAGTGGAGGCACTCTCTGGCTTTTTACTTCATTATCATCGTGCGCTGCATTGGTGCTGCCATCCCCGGTGGAAACCTCGCCAGACGTGCAGGAACTCGCAACCAAGACGGCGACCGAGATCCAAGCGATCTGATCATTGACTACAACCAACGCGCCGTTGACCAGTATGGGATATGGGCTGATTAGGGGTCCGCGACATGACTCCGGTTCTCCCGCACTAACCCGCCCAGTCCTTCGGTAGTAGCACGGGGTAACATCAAGAACGCGAGACAAGATGCGCTTCCAGATGTGACCCACTGCACCACATTCGAGCTCTAGCGCAGTCCCTCCCGGCTCGGCGGTAGAGCAGGCTCGATACACTTGGCAGACTGTTGGATTCCAATCCTGTACATGGCACGACTGCAGCAGTACGGACTTGATTACGAAGAAGCTCCTCGCTGGGTTTGCTGGTGTGGAAGTTGAGAGGTCCACGGCAGCGGAGGCAGGTTGCTAGCTTTGGTAGGCACGGGGTCATGCATGAGGCAAGGAGGTAGCGGAGGACGTGTAAGAGGAACGCCATCTTGAAAGCTAGGCTGCGGAAGGACGTGTACGATACTAATCGGTGCCGCACAGATAGTCACTCACAGAGGTCGCCCAAGCGCTTGGCACAAAGGAAGCTCTTCGCCTGTTGATGGTGCGGTTGCTTCATGTTTAATTTCTTGCTTCTGGGTTGGTGTATCGCAAGTCTTACGGCTCTGAGTTAAGGATCAGACATGTTTGAAACGAACAGCTGAAACATTTCGAGTTTGTAATCGCATCTTCAGTTCAAATGTCAAGACGTGAGTTGCGAAGGAAATGTTCCGCCATTGAAAGTTGATAAAAGTGACACGGAGTTTTCAGCACGACGAAGGCTCCGTTACACAACAGCTCTTCAAACACAGACGTTCCAGACCTGATCCTCCGTTCGCCCGCCGACTCGTCGCTACAGCGGTACAAAAGCTCTGATACTTATCAGATGCCAGTGACCTTACCCATCGCTGCCGCACACAGTAGAGGAGATCGGATGGCGGTATGCCGCGGCCGTTTACCGCAGTGAAGTTACGGTAGCCCCAAATCAAAATGTCGCCATAGGAGCTTCATTGCGATAAGGTGGCTGGAGCTATACCTCTCAGAGAAAGCGGAGCAGCACCTAGGATGCGGGCGGAAAATAGATGAGATGAGGGGGCGGAGCGGGACACTTGGAGTACTGAGCGCGGCCCGAGTAAGGGTAGAGCTACTAGCACGTTTCTATGCCTGCACGAGCATGCAACACGCAGGCGGTGCGCCCGCTCGGCGAGACAGGAGCGGCTGCCGGACGGGTGCTGGGCCAGAAGCAGGGCGGTCTACCGAAGGGACAGGCCAGGAGCGTGCTTTGAGATGCGGATGAGGGATATTTGGTGAGGCCAGGTGGCTGACGCGGATGCGGACGGAGCGTTTGTTGGATGTGCGCAGAAAACTTCTCGCCGTTCAAACGACTGGCAGATACAGGGGCTCATGCAGCTTTTGCTGGGCTATGGGGCTGGGCAAGGCTTTCGAGGCACAGGTGTGTGGCATGGCTTCGGCCCGTCGTGGACAAGGTCCGGGAAGGGTTGCTGATGTTGCGTGTCAGCGGCTAGTGACTTTCTAGAGAGCTCCACCGTACGCGGTGGCTGACTGTACCATCGCATCGACTGCATTAGCGGAAGTGAATAGCATGAGCTCGTCTAAGGGGTGAAATGTCCTGTCTTAGTGACACCAACCGCACCTGAGTCAAGCTAAGGCCGTCCTATCTGAGGTGCTGGACGGTGCTCCGGTATCATGCAATTGATGGCAGGCTACAGCACGCACGGGGTCACCTCCTTGACAGAAAGCTCATGCATCACGCCCTGGTGCTGGGCCTGGCCATGGGAGACACTCCAGGACGAACAGGGCCAAGCTGTTCCAGGAGCTCCAACGGCTGTGCCATGTACGATGATCCAGAGAGCCACCAACGGGCCAAGCGGTGTGTGGGACCGGTCAGTAATCGAGGCAGGTAGAAACGAGCAACTGGGCATAGATTCTTAAGCCAGTCTGCTCGCCGAAGCCAATCATCAGTCCGCTTCAGGGGCGGGCGAGACGAGAAAGGGCCGTGCAGTCAGGCGAGCTATCGCGGGTCAATCCGTGCAGGCAGCAATGCTACGACGCCGTAATGAAACATGGGGAACGGAGAGAGCGAGCCCGTTGTGCTAAGGCGTTGCCGGCGAGACAAGAGGACCGGTATGTCCGAATGAGCAACAGGAACCGCGACTGTACGCTGGGTCGGGTATTCGATATCAGTGACCGGTCGGCGTATTGGACCTAGCCACGCCGACAACTTCTGCGCCGCTTGAGGCGGTAGTATACTAAGGAGATCGTACTCGTAATCAATGATAGTATGACAAAGCAGGTCCGGAGTGGCGAAATATTACACCGACTGGATTAATCAGCAACCTGGCGTACATTGCGCGAGTGGACGACGACGGCCATACCGTAATTACGGCTCAAAGAGGTATGTCTGGCCGTCACGATGGCTACTGTGTGTAATCTGCGCCTTGGGATACACGCTCGCTGTGCTGCCTTGTGGTGGCAAGTCCAGCCGTTGCGTTTCAAAAGGCGGCTAGGGCGGTTGAGAGAAGGCTCATGACACCGTAGGGATCGTCGGCCTAGCACATCCTTCGCAGGAGATATGGACACATACATTATGCGCTAATGATGCGTCTCCGCTACCGGATTGAGCGGCGCTTGAGAGATTCGGTTCCAGGAGCAGCAGGCTGTCCATTGGCGTTGGAGCGTCTAGAATGGGGCTACTAACGGGAGGAGCTACGAAGCACAAGGCGAGTAACAGCACGATGATGGTGTGGATCTTGCCTTGCACTCCAGCATGTGAGGATGCAATCGAGGTGCTGAAGGCAGCCTGTGATGTTTCCGCGCTGGGGGTTTCGACGCGGAGAGCGGTGAGCCAACTATTGCGCAGCGTCTCGTGCACTGTAGAGTAGCTCGAGGAGCGGCATCTCATGCAAGTACGGACGTACCAGACCCTGTCGCCCTGCCACGTCTAAACTACGGCCAGTCAGCACATAGATAGTGGGATAGTTCCCCTGTACAGGAGGTAGGATAAGGGTCAAGACGCTTGCTTACGTTCATCATGCCCTACGCACATGCGTTGGTCTATGCAATCCCACATTAACGTGCGTGTCTGCTTAACACGATCCTTGCACCCTAGCCTAGCTTCAATCCCAATCGCTATCTTCGTCGCCTTCCATTTGACCGACGGTCCCTTGCCGTATTTTATTTGTCCCGCCAGCCAGATCATCATTCTGTACTTTGCGCTGCAGCCGCGAGTCGGTCGCCTTAACCGCGCCCACATCCACAAGCACTTTCTCGAGGTCTGCCTTGAAGTCAACTGATCTGCCAATTCGGAGGTCTCAGAGCTCTGAACAGATCCCTACCTTCGATATTGGTTCTCACGCCGTTTAGCTCTCTCAGCGTAACAATCTGTCTCCTGATATCACCGTCCTTATACACCAGTATCGTCGGTGTATTTCGGTCCGGATAGCCTTCGATACACAGCTCCGCTCGGATCTGACAGAACTTGACATCGCCGAACTTGGTCGCGAGCTGGCGCCAGATCTCTATCAGCACCCTCGACTCTGTGTTGGTGCCTTGACTCGAGGTCAACAGGACGAAGACGAAACACTGTTTTGAAGCCTCAGTGACTTCACGGGAGTAGTCGGGTTTCTGAAGATGGTACACCTCGTTGTACACGGAGGCGGCGGAGATGGTCAAGAGTTCTGCTAGGCGCTTTTTGCTAGGTCCCTCAGCTATCACGCGCTCCCAGCTTCCCGACACGCTTCGAGTAATCAGCAATTGTGGTTGACGTACCGATACTCCTCCAAGAAATCTTCGTCCTCCTCGTCTTCGAGCTCCGCCAATTCGTCCAAGTCTTTCCCCTCTAATCTGTTTTCGTGTGCGAGGCGGCGGGCTTCCTGCAGGGCTTCTTCAATCATCGGCGTCGGAGAAGGAGGCTTTTCGGGGATGATGCCGTGTTTGCGGAGGATATCGTTCCTGTTGTACGAGAATTAGTGCTCTGGCCAACAGTGTTTGGGGAAGGAGTGATAAGCCGGTACCATTCTGTATCTTCGTTGGGATTTACCTCGACGTTGACGGGCACATCCGGCATGTTCATGGTTGCTGTGGTGGGGGTTGATATGCTTGGGTCCGAGGGCGGCTTCGAAGGAGTTAGAGGAGCTGATGGAGTATCGGTTGGCGAAGATGAGGGAGGGGTTGGTTTGGTGGTTGTTGCAAGCTTCGTAGAGCGTATGCCGAGTGTTTAAATGGTCGTTGCCTTGCAGTGATTTTTGGTCTAGATGCCCGCGCGTCAAGTCGCAACACCAGCGCCAAGATTTCCGCATGCCAGGGACCACCACGCCCGCCAGGAACCTCGAATTATACCAATTGACTGCACTACCCAAGTACTCAGAATTACCGGATCACCTCCTCAAGACCTCCGTAGCTGTAGCTTAGCGCTTCCACTGGTCTGGCGCGCGCTGCACCCTTCCCTCCCATCTGTCTTTGGGCGACGTTGCAGCAATCAGACTCGCTGACCTGGACGCCCATATAATTCCCAAGAGTAGCTCGCGGGCTTCTGAAGGCTGTCAACAGGCGGTATGGCCTACAACTCGAAGAAGGATGAGGATGCGACTAGCATGATAGTCAGCGTGGACAGGACTACGGTGTTTCAAGAAGGCATGTGCACTTCGGACACACAGCTATAATAACTAACATGCTCCTACAGCCCGCGTCTTCAACTCCTCGTGCGTAAACCTGAACGTCTGCATACGTGCAACATAGCTAATGCGCCCAAAGCCCGATATCACCGCGACGATGTCGCATACTCCTCACAAAAATCGCCCTCCTCCTCTTCACCGGCGAGAAGTTCCCCACGAACGAAGCGACATCCCTTTTCTTCGGGATCTCGAAGCTCTTCCAGAACAAAGATGAGAGCCTACGGCAGATGGTCTATCTTGTGCTCAAGGAGCTTGCGAAGGAGGCGGAGGATGTCATCATGGTCACCAGCTCGGTACGCTTTGCTGTTTAGCAGCATCTGGTTACGCCCCCTTTGGGCTGACGAGACCTGTTATAGATCATGAAAGACACCAGCGTGAAATCAGACGTTATATACAAAGGTCCGAGCATCGCCCAGTAGCACTCCCGAGCGCAGCTTGCTGACCAGCCTCATAGCCAATGCTATACGAGCGTTAACAAGGGTCATTGATGTACGTCTTGTCACTTTCAAATCACCGCAGCCCTCGAAACTGACTCCGTCTAGGCCTCCACTGTTCAAGCGATTGAGCGACTCATCAAAACCGCCATAGTGGACAAGAACCCCTCCGTCTCTTCCGCCGCCCTTGTCTCCGCATATCATCTCCTTCCAGTTGCCCCAGACGTAGTGAGGCGGTGGCAGAGCGAGACGCAGGAGGCAGCAGCAGCAACGAGGTCGGGTGGAGGCTTCATGGGCTTTGGTGCCAGCGGGGCCTCTGCCCTCTCACCTTCCTCAACTTACCAGAATCAATATCATGCTATCGCGCTGATGTTCCAGATGCGGAAGAATGATAGGATGGCTCTCGTCAAGATGGTACAGCAATACAGTGCTGCAGGCGTGGTCAAAAGTCCTGCGGCTACCATGTTGCTCGTGCGGCTGGCCGCGAGCCTTGCCGAGGACCAGTCTTTGCGGAAACCCATGATGCAGCTCATTGACGGCTGGTTACGGTACGTATTGCAGCGGTCCACCTTCCGCTCACAGCTAACGTTATAAAGGCATAAGAGCGAGATGGTTAATTTTGAAGCCGCTAAAGCCCTCTGTGCGATGCGCGACGTATCAGACGCGGAGGTCGTCCAGGCAATCCATGTCCTCCAGCTCTTTCTGACATCACCACGTGCCGTCACCAAGTTTGCCGCCATTCGCATCTTACACGACTTTGCCTCGTTCAAGCCGGATGCTGTCAGAACATGCAACCCCGATATCGAGCTTTTGATATCAAATTCGAATAGATCCATTGCAACGCTTGCCGTTTCGACACTGCTGAAGACCGGGAACGAATCGAGCGTGGATCGGCTGATGAAACAGATTCGTGAGTCCTCCATTGCACGAGCGTAGCCGTTATCGTGATTCACTGACAATATGGCCGTCTCAGAGAGCTTTATGAGCGAGATCTCGGATGAGTTCAAAGTCACCATCATCGACGCTGTACGAACATTATGTCTAAAGGTGCATCTTGATTCTAAACCCAGAACAAAGTCATCGGCTAATGTGTGATCTAGTTCCCAAGCAAGCAAGCTGGCATGCTTCAGTTCCTCTCCAGTGTTTTGCGCGATGAAGGAGGCTTTGAGATGAAGCGCTCAGTAGTTGAAGCGATATTTGTATGGTTTTACCCACCAAAGTGGCAGCGATATTGCCAGCTCACACTCGCAGGATCTGATCAAGTTCGTGCCGGAATCAAAAGAAGATGGTATGATTCCGCTTGAGCGACTTCGATTCCATTGCGCTAACGAGAGCATGCAGCGCTTGGCCACCTTGCGGAGTTTATTGAGGACTGTGAATTCACTAAGCTCGCTGTGCGCGTGCTGCATTGCTTAGGGACGGAAGGCCCGAAGACGTCAGCACCCAGCAAATATATACGGCAAGTATGATCAAGCTCTGCTCATGTTCACTGCTAACATCCGAGCAATAGCTACATTTATAACCGCATCACTCTCGAGAACGCCATCGTCCGAGCTGCGGCTGTAACTGCTCTGGCGAAGTTTGGGGTCGGGCAAAAGGACGAGGAACTGAAACGAAGCGTACACGTTCTGCTTGTTCGTATACTTGAGCCGTCATCGAGTGGTCTATATAGTCTGCTAACATAGACCCAGTCACGATGCATGGACGATACGGATGATGAAGTCGTATGTCTAGCATGCCCGTCTAGTTTATGCATCGCGGCTAACTCTTCACAGCGTGACCGTGCCGCCCTCAACCTTCGTCTCATGGACTCCGACGAAGACATGGGAATACGCTTCATCCGAAACGGTAATCTCCAACCCTCGAACACTCTAGCCGTTGACAACTGACCTTGTGTGCAGACTCCATGTTCTCCCTCCCTGTCCTCGAGCAACAGCTTGTCCTCTACGTCACCTCATCCGACAAGCAAAACTTCAGCGCCCCCTTCGACCTCTCCGCCATTCCCATCGTAACACGCGAGCAGTCCCTCGCAGAGGACCGAACCAAGAAGCTCACGACCGCGACGCCGACACTCAAAGCGCCGTCCACAGGTCCCAAACCCGACCACCGTGGCGGCGAATCCGCAGCCCAAAGCGCCGCAGCCGCGACCCAGAAGTACGCCGAGGAGCTGGCTAAGGTGCCTGAGCTCGCAAGCTACGGCGCCGTGCTCAAGAGCTCGCCCGTCGTCGACCTCACGGAAAGCGAGACCGAGTACGTCGTCAGCGCCATCAAGCACATCTTCCGCTCGCACATCGTGCTACAATTCAACGTCAAGAACACCTTACCCGCGACCGTGCTCACAGACGTCTCGGTCGTCTGCACGCCTGAAGACGCAGAGGAGGCGGGGCTCGAGGAGGACTTCATCATCCCCGCGCCCGCGCTCAAGACCGATGAGCCCGGGGTCGTGTACGTCAGCTTCAGGCGTGTGGGCGGCGAGAAGGCGTACACGGCCGCGACGTTCAACAACGTCCTGAGGTTCACGAGCAAGGAGATTGATCCCTCGACCGGCGAGCCGGAGGAGCAGGGTTACGAGGACGAGTACGCGGTCGAGGATCTTGAGCTGGGAGGCGCGGATTACGTCATCCCGGCGTATGCGGGCAGCTTTGAGAACGTATGGGATCAAGCGCAGGGCGGAGAGGAGGCACAGGAGACGTTGGTGCTGGAAGGTGTGAAGAGTCTGGCCGGTAAGTGCCGTCTTTATTGCGCTGGCTTCTTCAGCCTCTCCCGTATCTCAAAACTCACCTTCACCGTACACACCTTCTCCCGCTTCCCAGACAGACTTTGTGGAGGTGAGACGGAAGATAGCTAACCCAACCCGGCCACAGACGCGACAGAAACCCTAATCAAACAGCTCTCCCTCCAGCCCCTCGAGGGCTCGGACGTTGTCCTCAGCCCTACTACCCACTCCCTCAAGCTCTACGGCAAGACGCTCACCGGCGGCCGAGTCGCTGTACGCGTCAGGCTGGCGTTCTCTGCCAAGTCGGGCGCGACGATGAAGATTGAGGCGCGCGCGGAGGAGGAGGGGGTTGCGGGATTGGTTGTTGGAGGTGTTGCTTGAAGGATGAGTCTGACTTGGGGTTGGTATAGGGTATTTGGGGCAGGGTTCGTCGCTTCCGTGGAGAGAAGGGTATAGGAGAAGAGTAGAGGGTGATGGGAGCACCTGGGGCATGATTGTGCTCCGGATTCAAGAGCGGTGGGGAATATTGCATCCTGCTTGGCAAATCCTGTTCTGCTTTCATCCCCCTGCTATAGACACGTGCTTAATGAAAGAAAGGGGGTCAAAGTCTGAAGTGAGATGGTTGGTTGGGAGCTGTTCATTTTGCACCTCGGCGAGGCACTTTTACCCAGAACCGCAAGCTGCTCGCAGGGAAATCCCGCCACTCCTCGAACCAATACCAGCGGACTTCTTTCACTATAGAGAGATAACGTGTTGCTACCTAACAACGCGCTCCTGATCTCGAAACATTCTAGGCTTTAATAACCGTAAAGTCGCTCGCTACCGCGGGAACTAATGCAGCATGGCGTGAAAATCCGGGGAACCTTGCACCCCAGGGACAATCGTGCATAGAATCCTGGGGTCATCATCTTCACCACCGCGGCGCTTTATGCGTCTGATTCCAAGGCAGTTTTTAACAGCTTCTCAATGTCAATATCTCGAACCGATGAGACAGCTTCTCAATGGTTCGTACGAGGTTTGAGTGTTCATAGTGCCGTACAATGTTCCGTGAACTTACCCGTTAACGGAGCGGATCGACTCCCGCGTGATGTCTTGGACATCGTCAGCCTCAGAGTCTTGATCACGCTCCAATTCTCATGGCTTCATCACCAGCTCCATCGCCGGGAACGGCTTTCAGCTAAGTGGCTCAATCCTTCAAAGGCTCTCCAATGTCTCAACCCCCATCTTACCCAACGCTAGCCACGAACCACCAAGCCAGCTCCGGGCCTGAGAGTCCGCATCCAGCAACTGTATCAGTAAAGCACCCCCGTCTCGCCGTCATCCTCGGCGTCCGGAACTGCTGGCATCTCCCGCTTTCGTTGTGTCGCGCGCTCTCTGTCGTGCCGGCCGTGTGGTCGGCGCTTGAATGCTTCCGTGATCTTGTCATTTCCCTTTTCTGGAACGAAAACGAGAGTGCCCCTTTTTGCTCTGGGAGCTGGGATCTGGAGAGACGGCTGGATGTCACGCAGGTGTTGTTGACACCGTTATGGGTCAGTCGGTCACGGCTTTCACTTCTGGGAGGTTGTGGTGGTGGATATGAGGGGAAGGCGCTGATGGCTTTAGTGCGCCGCAGCTGCGTGCCTGGCGTTTTCCCTGACGGATTGTCTCATGTCGCGGTGGTGAGTTCTGACTTCATTTGCTCAAAATCCACAGCTCTCGAGTCTACCCCGAGCCTTGTTCACAGCCCTTTGAAATTGAGCAAAGCGAGAATCTGACCAACAAGCGACAGGCTCCTTAACTACGCGCCTCTCGCGACAGTGATACGGCTCCTGACGGTCAACGCTATCAACTTCTACAGCACGTCATGGATCGTGCACTTGTTCGGCGGGAGCAGCAAGGCTAAGCATTTGCTGCCTGTGTGGATGTGTATTGCAAGCGTATGTGTCTCACAGCATCCAGAATGTCGTGTCTGTATACTGCGCCCTTGTGAAGCGTCCTCTGGATCCTCAAGCTCTCTGCCTGCTATTCAATGCTGATATTCAATATGCTACAGGCTTTCACAGTTCTGTGTGAAACATCACAGCGGCACGTGAATATTAGACGCGAGACTTATGCCGTGAGAAGGGCGTTCTGGCTTGCGGGCCTGGTTAGTACGTTTGTACTTGTGTTTCAGATTAGCTACTCCGAGCTAAAGGGCTGGTGGTGCGGAGATGATTCGCAGTTGACATGAGCACATAACAGCGTCGACAAATCACTAACCGCTATTAAACGCAAAAGATTCGCAATAGAGAGAAACCTCTGTTCTTTTGCAACTTGACCGAGTTGTGTAAAAGAATCAACTAGCACCTGCACTGCCATATAAACAAGCCGCACGCCAAGCCGTACGTGGCTCACCCAGAAGTCCAAATATCCAAGGAGTCCTGACCGTCGCCGCGATATGTAAAGCAGAAATGGTTCTCTCTTTTACAGCCGGAGCTGCGATGTTCTGATACAAGAAAAGCGTAGGGGGTCAACGCCATGAGAGACCACATATGCAGTTGAGTTGGGACGCCCATGCTTGATCAGTGACTCCTGCATGCTCTCAACTTTTCAACGAAGCTGGTGTCTCGAACGACAGCCTCGCGTTTCACGGCCAATAATTCAAACCTCGACTGCAAGCTCGCAAGCAGGGTTCGAGAACCGTCACGGACAGCGCACAACCGACTCATTTCGCCATCACCACGAATTCCGGTCCCAATTCGGATCTGCTTAAACATCAGCCCTAATTCCGCCCTGACCCTCTCTCAATCTAGCCCCAACCTACCCTGCACAAAAGCCGCCAGCACCTTGCTCCCCGTCTGCAGCAGCGGATGCCCAACCACGATCTGCAAAAATCGTTGCAGCCCCTCTCTTCTGTGCTCAATCACATCGTCGCTAAACCGGTTCGTAAACACCTTCCCCGGCAGCGGCGGGATGGTGACGCGCGCGCTCTCGCGCTCGAGGATGTCGCGGAAGGCCTCGAAGTCTGAATATCGCCGCCGCACGGACGAGGACTTGAGCTTGAAGGCGGGGATGTTGGTGCGCAGGAGGATCTCGTAGGTCGTGTACATGTGCCGGCCTGTGCCGTGGGTTTGGGGGTTGCGCACCTGGGGCTACAGTGAGCGGCGTGGGTGGATAGGTAGAGCTCGCAGGTACATACCTCGATCTCGAGATAGTTCTCGGGGGGCCCGTACAGCTCGTCGAAGCTCTGGGGGCGGGAGTCTGGTAAGCTCTGCATCGCTGTGCGTTCTAGGAGCACCGCTTGCTGGTGGAGTGGTGATGCTGTGACAGTGGGTTTGACAGGCGCATGCGACTCTGTTCACTGGCGCTGGGTGCTCCTAGATGCGCGAATCTGTCACTCGGCGGGAGATGTGCCACCGCAGACGGCCTTGCGGACTGCCCCGCTGTGATTCTGGAGTGTTTGACACGTGACAGAGCCTTGAGCCGTCATCATCAACTAGCAATTGGTGGGGCTCTCTATCAAAGCCTGAGGCCTTATTCGGGCTTCCGTCAATGGGTGTATATGCTTTGGTATAAAGGTGAAGCTGTATATACTCCGAGACTCTAGAAAGAGACTGTATAAGATTTCGACATTCTTACTTTCGTCAGACGTCAGGTCTCTTCCAATAGTTCCTTTGCTATTAATCCCCGTCAACTCCCTTTCCAGCAGGCTTGTCGAACTACATCTATATCCGCACAAACAGCGCGCAGCAAAGGAAGCACGAAATGTCACAGTCAAATGGCGCGCCCGACCCCCAAATGTTCCGCGAAGAAGACTCCATCCGCGTCGAGCTCACCTACTCCCCACTCTCCATTACCGCAAACACCAATTTCGTCAAGAGCCCAAAAGCCGGCGCCGTAGTCATGTTTGCAGGTTGTATACCCCACCCTATTTGTTTCCTTACCAATCCTGTCTTGCCTCCATTACGCCCTAGATATCAGCGCTAACGCCAAACCCAGGCACCACGCGCGACTCATTCAACGACCTACCCGTCAAGTCCCTAACATACCAGTCCTACCCGCCCCTCGCGCTGCGAACGCTCTTCTCCATCGCTTCGGAGGTCAAGGCCAAGCACGACCTCACGGCTATAAGTATAATCCATCGACTCGGTACCGTGCCTATAGGGGAAGAAAGTACGCCTTCCCCCACTCCCCTCCCAGTCTACCAACCTTCCTACCACAGCCACGCCTAACACCGCCCACGATAACACCCTACCGTTCCCGTTGTCCATCTTGGAAGCTTACCAAGCCCCCTCTAACAACCCTAGGCATCCTCATCCTTGCATCCTCCTCCCACCGCCACCCCGCCTTTGCCGGCGCATCCGAGGCCCTCGAGCTTACGAAAGAAAAGGCAGAGGTGTGGAAACTTGAGGAGTTTGCAGGCGAGGGCATGGAAGGGGTTTGGCGCGCGAACCGGGACGGGGTGATGGGTGTGAAGATGGAGAAGGGGGATGGGGAGGAGGCTGTCTCGCAGGCGAATACGGGGGGCGGTGGTGAAGACGTTAGAGGACGAGCTGAGGGGGCCAAGGCGGCTGAGAAGGCGGCGGATGGAGAGGGTGCGGATGTTAGTGTGGGGGATTGAAGCGAGGTCGACAAAACTTGAACAGGAAGGCCACGGTGGTGGGAGACACTCTACCGATGGCGGAGGAGAAGGCAACGGAAGCCGAAGAAGGGTGCTCAGGACGAACAGTACGTCGACTGCAAGAGTCACGCGATGACCTGGAAAGATCCTGGCGAAGTGCCATGCTGTGGCAAGCAGGCACAGGGGCAAGCCGCCCTTTCCGGTGGCGATCGTTGCTGATCCTTGGCAAGAAACAGGTTGGATAGATGAGTCTCTGAACCATCATATTGGTTCGGTAGCTGTGTTTGCACGGTTAGGTGTTTCAGAGGATGCACCTTTTGCGGAAGCGATGTGAATTATGTGATCACGGGATGCTTTACTTGGCAGTTCGATTAAAGTAGGAGGCAACGGCATTGATCATCCATGTCCTAAGTTCCACAACCGGTAGCATTTTTCATGACCTTGATTTTTGCGTGCTGCTGTTAGAAGGTGCTATCGCAGTGTTGGCCTTTTCAACCTATTGAGTTGGCGGAATTGTGGTCCGTCCGACTCACAGGATGCACGTGACTTGAGACCTCAATCCAGCTGTTTGAGCGGGATGCCCAAACTGCATTCTGTGATATCGGTGATCAAACAATGATTTGAGAGGTAATATGGAGCATCAGCTCAACTTCCGGTAGATTTCCTGTATAACGTATCCGTATCAAGCACTGAATTCGTCCATGTAAATATTGAAATTCTAGGACAACGTCCTACAATTCCCCACTACCGCCCTGCACTCTACTCATCCTCTCCCCGTCGCTTGACCACGTCCTCTTTCCGCCTCTTCTCCTTGTCCTCCTTCCTCGCCAACACCGTCGCCAACCACTCCTCCATCTCCTCCTCCGCCTCCCTCGCAGCCTTCCCAGCATCCGCATCGACCCCTAGCACGCCCGCCCGAATCTTTGCCCGCATCTCCTCCATGCTGCTAATATCGAACGCCCACAGCGCCCCGCCCGTCATCATCATGCCGAAGCTGAGCACGTTGACTGTGGCCAGACTTAGCGCTTCCACAGCCTCGAGAGGCCCATTCACGGGGTTGGAAGGCCGATTCGAGGGCTGGTAGAAGCGCGGCAGTGTAGAGGTGTGTTTGCGGACGAGGGCACGGCGGGTGGTCAGAATGGAGAGCGTCATGAAAGTCGCGCCGGCGAAGAAGAGCGAGAGCTGTCTTCGCGAGCGGACCGAGAAGAGCGAGGAGTCGTGTGATGCGGAGGGTGAGGTGGGTGGCGCGATTGAGGCGGCCGGAATCTGATTTGGGGGCTTCTCTGACGGGCCGCTGGAACTTGGTGCGTTCGTATCGCGCTGGAGGAAGGCCATCGTAGCGTGAGGTGGCGAAGTGGGACGGGTCCGCTTGCGGTTCTCTGTGCGCTTGCGCCTGTGAGGGCGGAGGTCGGGAGCGTTGCCGGTGCTGCTGATTGACGCTTCTCACAGATGGTCTCTGGGGTGGTGAGAGATGGGATCTCTAGACGGGAGCGATACGAGGTGCTAAGCAGGCGCTGAACGGGCGTTCTAGTGAATACGAAGCAGTACCTCACGTGTTCGCCCTGTGGAGGTTTGAAGGACGCTGGCCTGTAGTTCTGATAGGCGCCAATGGCACGGGACAGGCAGCTAAAGAAGGAAGAGCGAAGAGGGCAGGGCTGATGGTGGGGTGACAGCCGAGTTTGTGAACAACGGTGCAGAAGAAAAAGCCGAGCTGCTGCGGGACTAGTTAATGCAATGCAATGGCTGGCCAGTCGCTGGAGTGGAGGTGAGGCTCCAGGGAGCTCTGCTTGGATGCTTACATAATCTGGGCGCGACCGGGGGACCTTGGGGCTCGGGCACGATCCGAGAGCCTCCCGTGTATGAAGCAGCTGCAGGCAACCTTATTGTGACCATCTCGAAGCTGGAAAAGATGTACACGCATAACCGAACGCGGCGCGAAGCGGTAGATGCAGCAGGAGCTCCGCCAGTCAGCTTCAGCTGGCCTGTACTGTGTGCCGCTCCAGTAGCTAAGTGTCTCAGTCCTACTGTCTCGCTCTCAAAGCCATATTACGCTACGTCTGAATGCTCGTTGCGCTATCGTTTGCGCCGTTCTCCTTCCAAGTCAGTCTACAGGCCTTTCTAGCCGGTGCCCACGCCATGTGCGCACATCTTCCAGAAATGATAATAATAGAGCACTTGGTGTTGGCTTGACGTCGCGCTGCAGCACCCAAGAGCCTGGTGGCGGGGCATCACGCAACTGGCGGCCTGCTGGACTGCTGAACGCGGCTTGACAGCTCGCCACCACCATGTCACGCTGCTCAGTAGCTGGATGGCCTTCTGACGCTCACGGAACATGAACAGAGGTACGCGATGTTCCATGTAATTTAGCCTTACGGCTATTGTATCTGCCCCGCGATTTCAGGATGCCAGATCCACGTGTTGCGCCTCTGTTGGGGATGATCCAGTGGACCGCATTTAGCCTACCGTGAGCCGAGATACTATTTTCGTCACAAGTGGACCACTGTGAATAAACTCCTCGCTTGTTTAACGTCGATCTGCGTTCTTAGCATGCCGTTTGGTGCTGCAGCGGGCGCACAACGCCGCTTCCCACGAAGCTTAGCATGCAGATCTTTCTTCGCGTTCCCATTGGCCTGTTTTTGGGCACCATCTGCAACTCGCTATTGTTTTACCGTTTCTGTATACCGCATCCGTCCTTCTGTAGCCAAGAGCTTTCCTACTAGCAACTTCAATAGCACTTGGCTAGCATTTGCCCCTTCGCTGGGCGCATCTAATAATACTTTTCCCCACGGGGTAGCGGCTGGAGTGACCGGAAACCCAGAGTTCCAAGGCATGGAGCAGTGCGAAGGGAGATTCTTCACAGATTGCACCGATCTGGGTCGTATGAGCGTGCAAGCCATACCCACACTATCTCAACCGGCGCAGTGGCGAGCATGAGAGCCTGCGTATGATGGATTTTGGACGAGGCCGAACTGAGACCGGAATGGGGAATCAAGAGTGGACTAAGCGCAGCTCTCCAGCTTCGGAGACTTGTATAAAGCTGTGCTCATCCGTCACGAGCTTCATCCAGCAGCAGCCGCTTCAGCACTGTTCTCAGCAACTCCTCCACTTTCGCTTCATACCCTCGTTCACGAAGCTACATTCCTCTATCCTCCACCAAGCCGGTACTTCTTCGAGGAGCATCCATCATCATGCGAGGATTCCTGTCGTTGTTCATTGCTCTCCTTGCCTCGAGGTGAGCCGCAATTTCTCCCATTAACATACACTCGCGTTGATACTGGCGCTCTGATGAACCATACACTGACAGCGCTCCAGCATGGTGGTAGCTCTTCCCAATGGAGATCCACCTAATCATGACAAGGACAAGGACAAGAACAGGGACAAGGGCAAGTATACGACAGAATGCAGGAAGGAGTACATCACCAGCCACACTGTCGTAACCAGCCCCTACACCACCTACACGACCAAGACTGTCCATGTCCCTGAGACCAAGACCGTTCATGTCCCTAAGACCGAAGTAAGTTAGCTGAATACACTCGTTATCTATGAGCCCTGATTGACTGGAGCAGACCATCACCAAAACAAAATACGTCGAGGACGTAGTTCACACCAAGAAGCCTGTTGTCTACACCGATTATAAGACCATCTCGAAGCCCTACTTGGTCACCGTTACCAGCTACAGCATCGAGACCGTTAAGGAAGAAAAAACTTCATATACCCGCGTCGAGTACACCACTACCAAGACAAAGGCAGGCTTCCAGCTTCCACTCCTGCACTGTCTCCTGACCGTCCGCTGACGTGACCTTCCAGGTTGATACCAAGGAGAAGACCACCAGCTACCCTTCGACATACACCACCCAGAAGGAGGTCACCACTCATGTCCCAGTCACCACTCAGAAGGTATACACGACCGACTACGTCAAGACTGAGGAGAAATGTTACACGAAGAAGAAGGATGGCCACCACGGGCACAACTGAGCGGCTGCAGTCCGACTCATCGTGATGGTCTGAGCGCGATTTAGTGACTCACAAGTTACGAATACGGGAGGAAAAGGATAGCGTAGGAGCAAAGGCTTGGAATACACAGGTTGGCTTTTGGACTCTCCCTTCGTTGGCTGTTTGAGGATCATGTTGGTCAGGAAGATCGAACTTGACGATATGATGTGCTACGACATGCATAACTGTAATTTCTATATTCAGATACATACCTAGGTATTATCCAACTTTTGCACAAGCAATTCGTGGAGTCATTGTGAATACACGAAGGTAGTGCAAACCCTCCATACACCGCGACTACCTGGAGGACAGCGCCTCATGACCATGCCACAGTTGCCTGAGTCAGTGCGAGCCCGACGCCTCTGGAGTGCTCCGCTCGTCGAAGGCTCAGTCACGTGACCCGCGGCGAAAATTTGCCAAGTAAAAACCCCACAGCCGAGCTCATGCACGACATCAACACCACCTGCGAACAGGAAACGCTCTAACGCACTCAACGCACGCCGTCAAAGCCTCTACAACTCAGAGTCTCAAATACCTCAAGCCAATCTACACTCCACAACAGATCAAGATGGTAAGAGCCGCCTCTAAGCCGCGCTGCACTCGCAAACCCCCTGCATTTACGCGCACACGACCCAGGCCCGCCACCGCTCTCAAGTCACGATACTGACCGCATCTCTCTTTTGCGTGCAGGTTCTCGCAGTTGACCTCCTCAACCCTACGCCGCAAGCCGAAGCGCGCAAACACAAGCTCAAGCAGCTGGTACCGGGTCCACGAAGCTTTTTCATGGATGTAAAGTGCCCAGGATGTTTCACGATCACGACGGTCTTCTCGCATGGTGCGTACACTCATTCCAACACATTTTCTCGGCTTGTTGTGCTGCGGATGGGTAGAGGAGTCTCCGTACAACATCCGCCACCAGCATTCACCCCACTTTTTTTCTAGTCTTACACTGCTAAATGATGGTTTGCTAACTTTTCCACAGCCCAAACAGTCGTCACATGTGCGGGATGCTCGCAAGTCCTCTGCCAGCCGACGGGCGGCAAGGCGAGGCTCACGGAGGGCTGCAGTTTCCGGCGGAAGTAGAGCGGGTGGGCCGGAAAGAGAAATGAAAAAGAAAGCGATTGATGCTTAGCAAAATGGTTTGTGGGGTGTAATCTACGGACACGTGAAAAAGCAACTCGGGATAGAAGAGGGAACCTGAAGCAGGCTGCATTGGGAGTTCCGGATATCCAGGGTTGGTTGCTGGGTATGCTTTGGTGGTGCGTTTGCTGGTTTGCAATGCGTCCTTGAGCTTTCGTTGTATATACGTAGGTGGAGGATGTGGAGTTCAGGTCATTGCACAAAAATCGTTCTATCGCTCCAGACTGTTTACCAACCCTGCCTTGTGTCACAACACATTGATGTGTCTGAGCTTCTGAGGATGCTTGTAATAGTCTGCGACTCGTCACGAACTACAACGCTGAGCTACTGGGACATCACGGCGTGTTGAGTTCTTGGACGCTGCCTCGGCACACGACCTCGAAGCTCCTTCCTAATTGATACGTGTAGCACAGGCACAGCCCTACGCATCACGAGGCGTTCGCATAGCGATCGACAATGATTTAGTTAATTCTAGGAACTCGGTCTCAACTGTTGTTCCGTAAAACACAGCATAGCAGTAAATAGAGCTGCCACAGCAAAGCACCCTAACGGTATTCTCTACTCTAGCTTCCCAAAGAATTACGCCGCCATAATGTCCGCCAACCAGCCCCCTCACTCGACCGCAAAGGATTTAGTTCCCCCGACAATGACAGCCCGGTACACCAACTCAGAATGGGCTGCCCGAATCAAGGAGGTAGAGAAGTCCCTCAGCATATCGAAAGAAAGACATTCGGTGCCCCGTAGACCGGAAGACGTTGCCAAGTTCATTGATCACACGCTGTTGAAGCTTGATGCTACGGGTGCGCAAATCGATGGGCTGTGCGCTGAAGCTAGGAACGAAGGGTTTAAGGTATGCTGATCATTCGGGGAGTGCACCTGCGTCTGAGGCGTCAGACGTCCGGGATGAACAGTGCGGTTGGAGGCGTCAAGTCGGAGAAGAGCATGGATATCACTCAGCATGACTGCACGTGCTATATAAAAGACAGGGGATCGAGAAACAGTGGCAAGATATCATGTTTACTGATTGGTCATCTTGCATCAGACAGTCTGCGTCCGTCTCAACTTCGTAGCCCGCGCTGTTTCAAACTTGCGCGGCTCAGCCGTCGGCGTGGCATGCGTGATCGGCTTTCACGAAGGTACACAGGATCTGACTGAGAAGATAAAGTACTCCATCCCCTTTCTTTTTTCCATTCATCTTTTTCTCCTCCTGTTACTTCCCCCACCTCTTCTCTTACTCCATCTCCTGCTCCATCTGTCGTCTCCACCTTTCCTCTTTCCCTTATCTGTTCCCCTCCCCCCCAAACCCCCACTAACACTCCCCAAGAGAAGCCCACGCCGCCCTCTCCGCCGGCGCAACCGAACTCGACATCGTGCTAAACCACCCCCTCCTCTCCCCCTCCTCCCCCTCCTACGAAGAAATCTTCGTCGAGCTCGCCTCGCTCCGCAACCTCGCCCCGCCACCGGTCTGCCTAAAACTGATCCTCGAGACCTCGCAGCTCTCGCCCCACCAAATCACCGCAGCCTGCGTCCTCGCCTCCGCCGCGCGCTTCGACTTCGTCAAGACCAGCACCGGCTTTAATGGGCGTGGGGCTAGCGAGGAGGACGTGCGGCGCATGAGCAGCGCGGCGGCGCTGCTGGCTGCCAACGAGCGGGACGGCGCTGGCGAGGCTGGAGGGGTGCTGAGGATGCAGGTGAAGGCGAGCGGGGGGATTAGAGGGTGGGACGACTGTCGGCGGATGTTGGAGTGTGGGGCCACTAGGATCGGGACGAGCTCGGGCGTGTGGATTATGCGGGAGCTGAGGGAGAGGGAAAAGGACGCGGAGAAAGGGGGGAGGGAGGGAGGCGGGAAGAGGCCGGGGGTTACGCGGTTGTATACTGATGAGGAGGTGAGCGGGTATTGAGACGGGGGGAGGGGTTGTGCATGAGCG